TTGTCTCCGATGTTTCCATGACCAACTGTGGGAGAATACCAGGTAAGAAAGGTGCGAACTCCGGGATCGATGGCTGCGACGTGAATTTCTTCCGCTTGGTTCTCGCGGATAGACTTTCCGTATACCCATACAAATGTCCAATGTCCTAGACGAATAGGTTATAATAATAAGCGGGGGGGGAGAATGCTTCGTCCATTAATATAAAGTACCCGTGCAAAGTTTTGAAAGCCTTAAAACCCTCATCCGGGTAATGCATTGCTAAAAAAATGATGACCTAATAAGGTACTAAAAAAAAGAAGGCCCTCCTACAGATTTGTTGAAGGATTGAATGATCTGCCCTCACATCAACGTCATCACACATAAGCACTTCTTAGGAGAAAGACTTTCACTTTGGGTGAAACATGGCACCAATAGTCTGATTTTAAATTGGATAGACGCAGGTACACAAATATAAACTATCTTATACATTCCGCCGAACCCGTCACTCTATTGACCCTTTTTGTATATCGTAATCATACCCAAACATCTTCTTGTTTGTTCATGCACCAAATTGCGAGACCTTATGGGTCAGAAAGCGAATAAGGACAGCACCGTCAATAAAAATATTAAGGTGGCGGTTATCATTTATTATCATTTATTATAATTATCATTATTATTATCATTATTATTATTATTATGGGTAACCCCTGAAACATTCGTGTGGCACGGTTTGGTCACGCCATTTTGGCATAATGTGTTATACAATTTATTGTTATCATTATTATCCCCGGGTGCTATTACGCCACAGAAATCAGTTTTCATGTCACCAGACCAAGACAGGAAGTTGGATAAAAACCCCCCTCTCATCTCACGACAACAAGAACTTTTGCAGAAATAATAACATATACAAATATGACTGTATGCAGATTTTATTTGGAAGGCCGCTGTAGTTTTGGTCAGAAATGCAAGTACGAGCATAGACAGCCGAATTCATCAGAATTGAATAATCGTATTGGCTGGAATAGTAAGTCTTACAACAAAAGATGATCTGTAGTCTCGACCAAGATGCACGTTACTAATGCCTTCTCCCCCCGTGTACCAACAATAGCATACAATCAGCAATCACAAGTATTTGAGTAAGTTTCGACTTCGTCGACGGCGGTGGCTATTCTTCTGGAGACATTTCTGCCTGATGTGATATCCGCCTGTTGACGTTACTACTGTCCAATACAACAATTTTTTTTTTCTTAATTTTAATTATTTCTATGATAACTTTATCCTGATAATCTTTTACTAATGATCATAATCCCAATTCTACCCATCCAAATCCCATTCTAACCTTTTATCATTCCATTTCCCGATTTGTTTTTTTTATATCCCATTCTCTCGGGCTATTCCGTCCAATTTTATTTTACTTTCATCTCTTTTGTTTCCCTCTTTTGTTTCCCTCTTTGTTTCCCTCTTTTTACGTTCCCATTTATTTGAATCACTAATATCATACTCGCTGATAATAGAGAAAAATCAATAAGGACTGATTTAACAAAAGAACGGCCACAATGGCCATACACAGTATATGCTCCAGCAAAAGAGGAGCCGAATTTAATAGAAGGGACTGATGTCTCACCGGAAGAGTTGAGATTTGAGTTTTTTAAGTTAAAAGATTTCTGGATGTACGGTGGAGAAATGCAATATGTAAGCAATTGATGGATGAATCATAGCCTTTGAGGGGGTTGAAGGTGGAATTGTTGTTCGCTGCCTGTTGGTGAGGTTTTACTTGCGGTAAAATTTCTGATATTTGATCTTATTTCACTCGATTTCTAGAACCAGGGTGTTTCACAGCTCAACAGCATAATGAAACAAAAGATTGACGATGTGCTAAAGGACTTACGAAACTCTATACGAATGTACCAGAACAAGATAAGACCAAATTCATCAAACACTTTTGGTGGTGGCAGAACACAATCCAGGAATACAAGTCAGCAGCCATCGAATACATTCGGGTCCAGGTCTAATGGTGGATTTGGTCAGCCGCAACAGAGTAGGGCGTTTGGCCAACAACAAAGCGGATTCGGTCGGCAACAGCAAGGTGGATTTGGAAGTAGCGGATTTAGCCAGCAGAGTAACTTTGGAGGATTCGGCCAGCAACAACCGCTACAACCGAGTCCGTTTGGACAGCAACCGGGACCAGGATTCGCCCCAAATTCCAATACCTTGTCGCCAATTCAGGCTACCCAGCCGAATGGAGGGTTTGGAGGAGGGTTTTATCAACAACAGCCCCAACAAGCTGGACTTGGACTCGGCAATCCACAACAACAACAACAACAACAGCAGCAACAACCACAGCAGAGTAATACATTCGGTACATTTTCTGCTGTGGGGAATCCGCCAGCTCCAACTTTTAGTCAGACTGGCTTTGGAAGTGCATCGAATGGTCAACAGCAAAATCCATTAGGACAATCAATACAAAATCCTTTTGGAGCTCAGCAACAACAGAGTCTACTTCGCGGTGGTATGCAAGGTGCAGGACCAGATGCTAATGTGGTTGGGATGTCCGAGTATTTTACTGGACAGGTGCCAACAAGTCCACCTCCCAATCATTATTGAATTGGAAAGGATGGATCGATGTATGAAAGTTGATAATATAGAATCTAGATTGGAGATGAATTTCCCATGTTCACACATATATATTTACTTGGCATCTGTAAAAAGTTTAAATAGTCAGAATAAACAATGAGAGTTATCTCACTTAATAGTGATCATTAGTACAGATGTGTATAATAGCTGTTCATAGATATTGATTGATTTTTATTTCTATCGAACGAATGCTCTATTAATAACTAATGAGTATTAAAATGAAAGTAATCAAATGGAAATGGAGTTTTATTTGTGTTGGTCCTGTTGTGCGTGATAAAAGCATTCTTATTTAAGATGAGAATCTTCAAAGCTTCAATTTTATCCAATTCCTCAGAGTGCTGAATCGGTGACATTGCTAGTTTTTAATTTATTTTCATAGCCTAAAGACGATATGACATTTATTATGAGCCAGAGTAGATATCTCATTGCCATTACAACATTGAACCTTTTCGATTCGTTTGATCGAACCGTATTTGTAAGATAATAGATGCTATCAGAAAAGCAGTGCGCAAATATAGTATGATTTATTGTAGCCAACATTATACGTGTTTTTTTCCCGTCTTCGTTACTACATACAGTATGTTATTACAAGTATTTGTAATAGAGACGTTGATACAGTGAAGTCTTATTAAAGCATACGGTATTTATCGTAATGAAGAAAGCAAGCAACTCCATATTATATATATACTTTATTGAGGTGGGGTTTTCAAATCATGCAGTTTTCCGATACACAAGTATCGAGCAATTTCTAATAATGATACAGCGCCTAAATATAAGTATGTTAGGGTCACTACAAGACCAGTTTGTATGAAGCTGTGTACATCTTCCCATTCACTTTATTGTACGCCTTCACTTTCGTTTCGTGAGCCCCAAATGTTAGTGTAAATTCCACTTCCCTCTCTGTGTACGGATCAGGTAAATCCTAAAGCATAAAAACATGAAATTAGTATTGGGTGCACAGAGGAGTATAAGAAGCGACTTCCAAGGCTGTGACTATAGACATAAAATCTATGATCTATCGTGTCACCATGTTGAGCTTGCCCTATACTTACAATTACCAAAGTTCCAAGTTCCTCCGTTCCTGGATCATCACAATATGTTACACTTTCTTTTGAAGTCGTGTAGACACTAAGTCTCAGGCTGGTTTGACTGGGTAAAAATGGAACTACGTCCTGCAAGAAACTCTTATCAACTGGCACTTCTGTTCCTCGCTTAGCCATTGTATGGAAATAAGCCACGCCACCAGACGCTTTCTTGCGTTCAATTGGATGAGCTGAAGTCCAAGTATCAGTCAACTCGAGACCGTATGTACGCTTAAGTACACGCGTCTCTACAACAGATTTATTTATTCCTACAAATAATAATGAAATTCCATGTTAAGCGGTGTTGAAAGATTATAAGAGCGTTTGAAATATAGCATTCTGACGTACCATAGAAGACAGCTCCATACATTATTGCTGCTATCGGATGAGGTGGTGATGCTATGGCTGATACTTGACTATTAAACTCTTTCTTTATTCTTTTGAATAGATACGGTGAGCTAGAGAATCCGCCAACAACAAACATTGCGGCGCATTTCTTACGGGTTGCAGCCAGTTGCTTCCTGATCAAAGCACAGATTTTTGCTAAAACCGGGTCGAAGAAGCTCTTGACAGTTTCATAATCTAATTCGATTATCCATTCATCTTCTTCAATCTGTAGTTTCTCAGTTCCCTTCACATACTGCTTTATTGCTGGACATAATTCCTCCAAATCCATGTCTTGACTTTTATATTCCTTGGGATTATCGTTAAATTCATACTTGACTTGTGAGCAGAAGCCCTGTATCAGATATTGAAGTTGTCCGTAATGATTTTGTTTTAACATTTCCACGGCAGATGCTCCAACTTTTTTTCCGACATATTTAAGAAATTCCTGGTCAACATACGATCCTCCACAGAATTCACCTGTCCTCTCTGTAGCTTCAGTCAGTTTGCCATCCGCCTTTAATGTTCGAACTGTCAGATCCACCGTTCCTCCTCCACAGTCGACAATGAGGAATGAATCTATTTGATGACATGATAAAAAACATTATGTTTTAATACTATTCACAATAATCTAGAGGCATAGTAATACATAGTATATTAGTACATGCCTCCTGCCTTAAGAGAATACGAGTTACAAAGTTTCATGCAATGTATTGCTGCAGCTTCGGCTGTGATTTTTAAGTCGATATATAATCAGTTAGAACGTTACATCGAATGTGCGAATGTTTCAATAGCTAACCAATAGATAGATGCAATAAAGCGAAAGCATCTGATATGTTGATGTCTGCTCATTGTCTAGACGATACATACGTTCTGTTGTAAATTCTAATAGTTCCGAATTCAAATAGTCAATAAATCCAGCATCGTAGGCACACGTTCGCATTATGAAGATTGCTCTATCGTCAAACTCGGCAGGAACTGTCATAACTTTCAATACGTTTCTATGGAACGATAAACCGCGCCATCTTTGGTTCAACGTATCTTTTATTACCTTGAAAAGTATGGAAGAAAATGTGCATATTAACCAACGCGCAGAGAAACAAGGGACGAGAAACAGGATACCAGGAATGTAATACTCTAGTACGTGATATTATCATGGATATTAGAATCTTACAGTGCCCATGCAACGGAGATAATCGGTTATTGCTCGCTTATAGTCTAATCCCAACGGTAATGGAGGCTTCTGCGATTGATCCATTGTGCCAAGATGAATTTTAAATAACTCGACCGGTTTTCCGTTGTTCTTGGCATCTTTTCCATTTTTAATCTTTGGTTTTGAAGCTAGGGCTGAAGCGCCCCATTCGAGGACATTCCATTTCTCATCATATAAGAGAGCAGTGTTAGTCTTCACTAAAGCTTTGCGATTGTGCCTATAAAAGAAAGCAATTATAGATTACTGCGGTCGCTAGCTCTAATCTTCATCGTGCATCTCCTCTCTATAATCACCATGTGTCATTTGTTTCAACGCTATCAGGGCTTGTCGTATGGGCATAGGCGAAACCTAATTGCAGTTTTTGAAGTAATCAATAAATTACAAGCCCTTATTCGAATGCCATTTCTATGACTTTACCTGAGAAAGTGGTCCCGAAGTCTAAATCGGTAACAAGAGTAAATTAAAATTAATGGCGGGAGTATCAAAGCACATCAGATGATTACTGAGCTTACCCAAGCCCACAACGACCCTAACATCCTTATCAGCTATGTTGGGAGTAAATCCACTCATTACTCTTTCCTTGTCGAGGAGAAAACGAAGGATTATAAACTCCGAAATCAAGTTAATATAGCAAACAGTAATAATGAGCCATGTGACACAGTGGAACAACGTTCTACATTTGTGCACACAATAAGGACTGCTTGCTTGTGTAGTTAGTGTACTAATTGGTTGGTTCCTCGAAAGATGCCACCAAATGAAAGCATTAGATTTAATTGCCCGGTTTGACTAGTGATATAAATAGAAGTTTCAAAGGATGTGCATATACTCGGTCTTCCAAAAATCCAACGTGAGATGTCTATAATGATTACAGTCGAACCTCGTTATACCGAATTTTCGTTATACCGAAGGAATTCTGGCTCCCCCGTTTTTTAAATAGTAAAATTCTCTCGTTATGACAAAGTTAATAGCTCGTTATACCGTTACCGAAAGTTTCGATGCAGGATTTTTACAATATTAATATCAAAGTTTTATCACGTGAGAATAGTGATTGGTCGTATCACACGATATAAGATTTTTAATAGTATTAAGATTTTTAATAGTATTAAGATTTTTAATAGCTGTGCCTTCAGCTGTATTTCGTATCTACTATTTTTTAAATTCAGTCATATACTCGCACATATTGTTCCATCATGCAATTTTCGGTCATACGATTAATTCTGAGATGTAAATACAATTAGGGAAATAATTTTATCATTAACAAATTGCTATACAAACAACGTCTTTTCAATTGTCTTTTGACATACTCCAACAATTGATCAACAAACCAAAATTATTTTGGTGTTGCAAAAGCGCGAAATTTGCTTGTTAAAGAAAAACGTGCCAGAGCCAGCCAAGTCACAATTCGTATCAAGCAAAATTAAAAAAAAAAAAATGCGTTCGTCGAATTTGTCAAAAGTTGAAGAAGCACCAATTGAAAAGGCACTTGAATGTAATTTAACAATTACAGGCTCCCTCATTCAACAAAAAGCTTTACAATTTGCAGAGTTGTTAGGAACAACAGATTTTAAAGCATCATCCGGTTGGCCTGAGAAGTTTAAAAAGAGGTATTCTATTAGTGCATTCAATAAACATGGCGAGTCTCAAAGTGCACCGGTCAAAGAGATGAGAGGAGCCGTCATTAAATAGTATCAACCAGATGATGTTTAATTGTGATGAAACAGGTCTGTATTGGAAGATGGAGCCTACGCGTGGATTATCGACCAGACCTTTGTCAGGAACGAAACAAAGCAAAGACATAATTACCATTTTATTAACATGTAATGCAACTGGAACCGAAAAACTAATTCCATTATTTATCCATAAATACCAAAACCTACGTCCATTGAATGGAATTAGTAAAAGTTCATTACCAGTGGATTATTATTAAAATAGCAAAGCATGTATGCAAAGTTCCATATGGAATGATTATTTAAAGAAATTAGATAACAAAATGCGTAGGGCAAATCGACAACGCGCCAACACATGATTTACTGGATAGTCTTAATTTAACGAATGTGACAATCCATTATCTACCACCGAACACAATATCACACTTACAACTATTAGATGCAGGAATAATCCATAGCTTTAAGGTTTGTACATTAATACAAGTAAATATTAATTATCATAGACATGTTCTTAACCCATTTATTATTGTGTACAGGCTCATTATCGGAAACTGCTACTTGAAAAAAAAGAGAAGAGAAAACATATCAGTCAATATTGCAAATAGATATCCCAGCTGCGTCCTGGTGCATTGCGAAAGATATGTTGTTTATATTTCAGAATGTCTTCATATAGCCTTGTGTCAAACTAACGACCGCGGGAGAGCGTTCAGTAATTGGCCTTGGGATTTAATCGACCTCTACTCCTGCTTAAATCGCTGACTTATTCGGTATAATTGTCGCTGCAGATATCAAATCGGTGCTGATCGTTCGTAGGCTTCAACGATTGTAATACACAGCGTATTTTAGTAATAATAATTAACAATCGTGTTTGCCAGTTACGAAAATTGATAAACAAGATCACCGGAACCCGCGATTTACGACTGAAGTGGCCTGGAATAATTAATGTCCAATGTATATTGATTGTTTATTATATGAATGATCGTACAAGTGTTGAAGGAATGTTTAAATTCAAGAACGGAATCCGAACTACAAAAGATGATCGGGCTAAAGATGATGTTAGCTAGCGAAACTATATCCGCTTATATACTTTTCTCTCGTTTCACTAATTATCATAAATATACGTTGACATTGTTTGAATGAATTGCTTCACGGTAGGCCGACTGAGTTTTATGCAATTGTGCATAGAGTTAAAAATTGCTGATTTCGTAAAATATTCAAGTAATAGATGTCTATTACTATCTTTTCAAACGAGGCCTTCGACTACCTCTACTCGTACTAAACCTATAAGTGATAATTAGTGACGTTTTCGAAATACTCACGATGCTCGAAACTTACTTAAAAACTGTAATTTATGTGCTGATCGGTCTCGTATACGCCGTCCCTAGATTACTAGTTAAAGGGGACAATGTTTACCACTTTCCTGTTCGATCTATTGATTTAAAAGACAGTGGCTGCCCTAGAAAAGATTATTAAAGATTCGAAACACAGCCAAAGAAGGCTAAACTAGATAGAGAAAAGTAGAGAATATAAAGCAAAGAATGATAAGTCATATCTTTGGCTATTATTTTATATAGCGAATTTTGAATTATTCAAAAGATGAAAACGAGCCCGATACCAAACGACGTCAACTGTTCACTTTAGTTGCAGCATGACCCAAATTAAAAAAGTGATTGCAGACAAAATTGTAAACTCATTGCATCAGCCGGGAGTTGAACCCGGGCCACTTGCTTGGAAGGCAAGTATTCTACCGCTATACTACTGATGCTGACTTCCTGTAGGGTAGAATAAATTTTATCTAAGATTACTAATTACGCAAAAATTGAAACGACAATTATTTCCAACAGCAAACATATTTTCATTACCAGATTTACCGTTGTGCAATTTTCGAACATTCCAGAATAAACCACAATTTTCGTACTACAAGATTAATACGGTTTTGTGTGGATCTCAAATATAAGGAGCTTCCAAAGTCCTTGAAACTCCCTATGACATTCATGATACGACTTGCTTAAAGGATATTCTTCCAATTTTGCTGCCAATCGTAAAAAATTCGAGAGCTCTGTTCCAAAAAGGATCCTCAACAATCAATTACGATACTTCCTAAACACTGGGGGTCTCGTGGCGAATATTCATTTCTTTCTAAAATCAAGTCAGCAGAATCTCTTCCAAATGAGCTTGAATATGATAGCTGACTTGTTATGAATCGACTTGAGGAATACTTGAAATACGGGCTGAAAACCAAGGCCCTATATTTCAAAAGGGTTTGATCTAATTTTTTTATATTATATTATCTATTAAATTAAACTTTAATTAATTATATATTTAATAATTTAATAGGAGGGATCAGGAGTGATTTCTCTGGATCCAGGTGTACGTACATTCATGACAGGTTATGATCCGAGTGGAGTAGCTGTTGAATGGGGTAAAAATGACATTGGCCGAATTTATCAATTAAGCCATGCATGTGACAAGCTTCAAATTGTATTCCTGGGGAAAGAAAACGTTACAGGTAAAATTTAATTTATTTATTTAACATTTATTATAATTTAACATATATACTACTTTCAATTGTAGATTACGTCGTGTTATGTTACGCATTCACAAGAGGCTCCGTTGTCTTATGAATGATTGTCATCTAAATGGCTTTGTGAAAACTATCACATCCCGAATTTCGCACTCAAGGAATGGTCCGACGTGGACAACGACGCATTGGTTCCAAGACTGCTCGAGCCAGGTGTACATGGTCACATTATCACTTCCAACAGCATATGATCCATAAGGCACGTGAACGTCCCTAGTGTCGAGATTTGTACAAATACACTTGTGGTTATATTCATAAAAAGCTAGGTGGATCTAAGGTGTTTTGCTGTCCTCAATGTAAAACAAACCTTGATAGAGATATTAATGTGCTCGCAATATTCTTCTTCGATATCTTACAAAAAAGGAGTCAGCGGGAGCCTATTCCCTGACAGGACTTGTTATTCCTAATTTAGACTTTTGCTTAATTAATATTAATGTGGCGTTTTATTAGTAATGATAGGTTTTAATGTAGGCGTAAATAGAAGACAATGTATATTTCAGGCAGCCAAACCCATTGATAAGAATTATGGAACTATTAAATATCTTTGAATTCTCTTTCACTATTCTTCGCCGAAACAAGAGTTTACGGACACTATTCCTCCATTCATGACGAAAGTTCGCTATTCTTTCAAGGGGGTGCTTTTCGAGTGCCTAGATCTGGAAATCTACGCTGCGCAGTCCGCTTTGTTTTTTCATACTTTCGGCTATTTGTTTTACTTTTCTACTATCAGCCCTCGTTCATATTAGTGAGTATAAATAATCATTAAACTTATGGCTGGGCATTGTATACGATTACGCTGTTCTTTTTTTATTTAATATTAAGCCATAAGGTTTATTTGTAAATTTTAAGTGCGTTTCTATTACGATGCACATAATCTAATCAACTGATCGGCCTTATTCCTTACAATGGTAGTTGTTTTGTGAGAATGAAATTCCCTTTTATATAATAACATGCTGTGGTGGGACTACGTCTAGGCCAAGCAGAAACACAATAGATGGACAAGAGATCGACCGAATTATTTAACGTTCTGTAATAGTAAAGTCTTCCTGTTAATTAACCATGAACACGTGTGCCTAATTCAGCAATGAATGTATCTTCAGATTTCCCTGTTCGGATCCACGGCGCTGATTTATTCTTTTTCAGTGCAGACAAATTAGATTTTTTATTGTATTTCTACCACTTCGAGAATTCTTATAACCATCAAATCAAAATGTGCCAGATTTTTTATTCCCTATTGGTGTTACTCAAGCTTTAATTACTTAACTATTAGATCTGTTGTGTCCATCCACGAAAATTATTGGTATAGGTTCCCCAATATTATGCAGATTATTTTAGAAGAAATCACTACTTAAATAAAGGATGAGAGTACGATGCCTAATTGATGATCCATTACAGACAGCCAATCGGAAACTGCCAACACGACAAACATTTACATGCATACCTATAAAATTGGCGCTGATACCATCCATCCATCCTCAAAACTCACCACACGGATACTGAAGGCATTCTAATATGATCCGAAAGATAATCATCCTTGCTTTGGCCTTCCTGGCCTTTTCATTATTAGTACGTGCAGACGAACTTGATGAACAAACCGAGCCCGCAGAAGAAGTACTATCCGATGTCATCTCATTGACGGCACAAAACTTCGGGACAATAGTGGATGCAGAGAAATTGATAATGGTGGAATTTTTCGCTCCGTGGTGCGGGCATTGTAAAGCGTTGGGTCAGTAAACAGATCACATCGAATACAACGCTTCTGGATGAAAGAATAATTTAATTCATTATTGACATTATACAATAGCACCTGAATATGAAACGGCCGCTACAGCTCTAAAGAAGGATGACATCAAGCTGGCCAAGGTTGACTGCACTGCAGAAACAAAGATTTGTCAATCGTACGATGTCGGAGGATATCCGACAATAAAAATATTTAAAGACGGAAAAGTTACAGCTGATTACAGCGGTCCCCGTAAAGCTGATTCTATCATTCCCTATATGCAAAAGTAATGTATAATCTTACACTTGTACACCAGATGACAAGATAACCGCTCTTTTAAGACTCTTGACTAACACGCTCTACAACAAAATAGACAATTACTGCCCGCGGTTGCCGTAGTAACGCCCAGCAACTTCACTTCTTTCAAAGAATCTGAAGATGTGGTGATCGTCGGATTCTTCTCTGGCACAACTCAAGACGAATTCAACGTTTATAACACTGTTGCTGACGCACTACGTGAAGAGTTCCGCTTTGGCTGTGCTGTCAACTCTAAGCTTGCTTCGGAAGAAGGTTTGACAACACTTCCTGCAGTCGTGGTCTACAAAAAATTCGACGAGGGCAAGGACGTGTTCACTGGTCCATTCAATGACAAAGACTTGGCCAAGTTTGTCAAAGTGAGTTCGATAAAAGTATTGGATGAGATCACCCCAGAGAACTATCCCTTGTATGTCGATTCAGGAATACCTATCGCTTTCTTATTCTACGAGGGTGAGGAACAAAAAGAGAAACTTTATGAGCAAGCCGAACAAGTAGCGAAGGAATTCAAGGGAAAGATTAGCTTTGTGTTTATCAATGCAACAGCATATGGAGGACACGCCGATAATTTGAACTTGAAACAAACGTGGCCCGCCTTTGGTATCAGTGAACCAGAGAATGGAAACAAGTTTCCTTATGATCAGAGCAAAGAAATAACAACAGATGGTCTCAATGAATTCTGTACTGCCTATATCAACGGAGAGATTAAACCGAACATTAAAAGTCAACCTATTCCCGAGACTAACGACGATCCTGTGTACGTTCTTGTTGCTGACAATTTCGAAGAGACTGTTTATGATACTACCAAGGACGTTCTTGTCGAGTTCTACGCACCATGTAAGTAAATTCTAAACATGTGTGTAAAATAGTGTTGACTTTTCATCTTGTTAATTCATATGAATATGTGGTTTGTACCTTTTGAATTCTTAACCTGCGTACATAGGGTGCGGCCATTGCAAGAAACTGGCCCCAACTTACGACAAAGTAGGCGAAGCGTATGCTCCATTCAAGGATAAGATCGTTATCGCCAAGATGGATGCCACGGAAAACGACCTTCCTCCCCGCGTTCCTTTCAAAGTCGGTGGATTCCCTACGATCAAACTATTCAAAGCCGGCGAAGACAAAGAAATCGTTGATTTCCTAGGAAACAGATCGTATGAAGGTTTCATAGAATTTCTTGATCAACATGCTGTTAACAAAGTAACCATAACAAAAGCAGAAGAAGAAAAGCCGACAGAGTCCCAACCCCCTGTTGAAACTGAACAAAAACATGTGGAGTTATAAAGAGCATACTGATTGGGCGTTGTAGCGGTATTAGCGATAGCAGTAGCAGCAGTAGCAGCAGCAGCGGCAGCAGCGACAAGTAGTAATAATAATAGTAGTGGTAGTATTAAGGTCATATATATATATATACATACATTCATTTATTTGCTGAATTTGAAACAATCATGTAGCAAAGTTGTGTATATATATGTGTGTATTATTTGGGAATGCATTAATGTTGGTGCAATTGATTTCTGTCTGAACGTGATTATTCTTATTCTTTGGAGGAAAAAAACCAAATACAAAAAAATTATAAATAAATGTCTCATCACTGTCGACAGTCTTTCAGTTAACTATTTATGAGGTAACAAACGTTTCGCTTACTGCACAACTGAATTTTGTCTACCTACTCAAAGTCTCTATTAGAAATTTTCGAATGGCTATAAACGATAAATTACGCTGTCTCGACTCCCTTTGCTTTTGTCGACGTTTCGTCATGCGTTACTCACGTCTACAGACACAACTTCATCCGATGCTTTATCGTTCTCGGTTTCTACAGTTGAACTTTCGGTAGTTTCATTATTACCATTTGAATCGTTTCCAGAGGCGCACTCATCACCTGACAATTTGCTGGACGAGGGAGTGGAAACAGATACTTCGGATTTGACTTCCTTCATTGCGTCATTATCACGTTCAGACGATTTCCCATTAGCTGCTGTTTCGACAACATCTTGCTTTGAAATAGAAGCGTCGGAAGTGGACGCAGATGATTCTATAGTAGGAGTTGAGGATGGTGTGGAGACAAGCGCACGTGGTTTGGAACGTCCTGGGCGCCTAGGCCGATCTTTCGTAATCTGTTTGGAAAAGTAACATACCACCAGCAGAATGTTAGACATTCGCTTTTACTAACAAGGTCTCAGAAAAGCAAGCGATCCGCACTGGGTAATCTTTAAAGCTTACATGTGTCAAAGGCCTACTACTAACTACATCGACTCTGCTTTTTTCTTCTGTTACTTTTTCACTAGAATCATCCCCCATCATAACTTTCACTTTTCCAACATTTGTATTTGTCCGCTCTTTATCATCACCAGTAATTTCAACTTTTCTCCCGCCAACCCTAGGTGGAGCTCCTCCACGGGCAAGGCCGGGAAGCGGCATACCAGCGCCAAAGACAGATTCAAGACGGGATGCAACTGTGGGTTCGAGTTTCTTAGGCGACGGTTTGCTCGTTTGTGAAAGAGATGCCGTGGAAGTGGTAGAAGTAACTGTAGTTGATGTGGAGAGAAATGTGGAATTTATTTTACGTGGTGGAGGGGATTTATTTGTTGAGGAGGCGGTGGACGATGGCGGGGTGTTTAATGGAGCAGTCGAGGCAGACAAAAAGGCAGAGGTAATTTTCTTCGGTGAAGGGTGCACGGAGTTATTTACTGATGCAGCCGGCTCCGCGTTATCCTATATTAAAGTAATGGCTGACATTTAGCAACATACGCACTTGATAACTTCTCATCTCTTGCTTTTTTCTTCTACATGCCCTTGCCTAGCCAGCCGCAACCACCACCAAAAAAACCTTGCCCCTTTCCCCAAACTAACTGTCCCCAATATCATTCAATACAAATCCAAACCTTCGCAGCCCACGGAACCTTATTCATAACGTTTATTCGTCCTGGTGTGGGTTTCTTCTCATCGTCTTTCTTTTTTTCATCCTTATCTTCAACGTTACCCCACTTTTCCAACACGGGCTTCCGTTTAATTACGATTCGCTGAGATGTTTTGGACTCGTTTGCCTGTAATTGGGCGGCTTCACGCTGGCGAATAAGCTCAGCTACGCTCTGCCGCGTTGAAGGAGATGTTGCAAGGGGGGTTTGTTGGGAGGGAGACAAAGTTGCATTCGAATCGTTTTGGGATGCTATGGTTGATTCAGAAGAAGAGGAGACAACTGACGGAGACAAGGTAGTAGCAATGTTGGTTGAATTCTGAGATTGAAAAGCGTCTGCAGTGCCTTTACGATTTTCTCTTATAAACAAATGATTTGATGATGGTTGCTGATTGTCAGAATTACTTGCGCTTCCGCGGCTACCATCATTAATATCCTGAGGTTCAGCAATAATTGGAGCTTGTAACAAAATTTTTACCGAATCTTCTCCAACCTTTCCCTCCTCCTTGCCTTTGGAATCTCCTACACTTTCGGAATGTCCTTCCGCCACTACTTTCTTCTCGATTTCCACATTGTTTTTATCTACTACATTAAGCTTATGTTGACGATGGCTTCTGAATTCTTCAAAGATAGTGTCAATATCACGACCTTTGTGAAGGACATCTGTCGAACCTCGACGCGGTTTTTGAATCTCTATTGGATGTGATTCTTCATCGTGATAGTTGCACATTAGAGAGTATGCGTGAGGAAGATAGAGGGCAATAGATGTAAACTTACCAGTACGGAAGGAGCTGCTTCGACGGCGCTCTTCGCGTGCTTTCCGCGTTTTGTCGATCTCCTTTAGTTAAGAGTAATAATAAAAGTAAGTATATTTCTCCGAAAACCGAAATATCTATATATTTACAAGATCTATCACATAATTTGTCTTCTCGGTTACACTCAACTACTACGCGCCATTCCTCAATCTCCCAAACAAACCTCAATAAGTTCCTTCTCAATCCTTTCCCGCTCTTTATCCCCTTCTTCTTGAAGTTCTTTGATCTTCTTCACCCATTCCTGATACTCTTCTTCGTTTTTCTCTTCTCCTTCAGCTATTTTCTGTAAGGTTTTTTGTCGCTCACGACGACGCGCTATAGCCGCTTGCTCTAGTTCTTTCTCGAGCGCTTGAAGTTTAACTGAAGGCGGCGAAGCGGGGGTAGCTGAAGTTGAGATAAGTATGGAGGAAGAGGAGGGTAATAGATATCTCCTGAGCGAATCGAGGTAGACTTACTATCGAGGGAGCCCTCCTCGTTAAGTGATGAGTGTTGAGATGAGTTTGAAGCTTTGACAGATTCTGACATTCGTGAAGTTAATGTTGTAACATGTTTGGCTATCATTTTATTGAATGTTTCAGATGTGACACACGCTTTCAAATCCCTGGAAAATCCACCAACTGAATAGAATAAGATGCATGATCGTAAAGCCTTTGCCTTTTTTTTTTTTTTTTTCGTGGACAAAGTGTATTTTCCTTTTAAAACATGAAGACTAGAATAATGTATCTAATTAACTACTCTTATTTGTTGATGGGTCTACGGATAAGTGGCGATTACAATCGAGTGTGATAATTCGAAATGGGTTCCTTTTGGTAATTGGGAGTTTGTTCGCTTGCATTAGTATCCATCCCGAATGGAGGATCAACCACGCCACCAGATAAGAGAGGCAGATACAACCGCAACATTGCCCTGCGAGGGCTAATAAACATGAAACTTTGATTTCTTGTGCTGAGCTTTTCCTAAACAGTTGGGGATCGACATAAAATATTTATCGTTCCTCCAAAAGAAACCATATTACTATTATCAGTAAAGATCTTCTAAAACTACAGATACTAATACTGGACACTCATCGATAAGCTTTTTTGAAAGTCGAATATTTAAATAATTAATTATTTTATCGCAACGAATAGTATATTACCATTGCAATCGCTATAAAGTCACTACCAAAATAGCCAAAGTGAGGACATACAAATTTGCTTAGTCTACTGCGGCAATAGAGATCTGTGTAACACTTGGTGTGTATTTAATGAATAGATCTGAATCCCGCACGCCCTCTATCTATAACTGACATGACATATTATACTGCTGCCTCGAAGCAATGGTGAGGATTTTTTATTGGCAATCTATGGCATAAATACAGTCTTTTGTTTGGAAAGCGTATTTTAGTTACTGAAGAATTTTGTGCTCAACGTAGGCGTCAATTTAATTTTTTCGACGCTCAGCAGGTTAGAGATCCTATTGATCCGTCGAAATCGCCGTCCATATTTCAGGTATGCTTCTTGAAACACATATTACAACAGTTTGTCTCTGAAACTATACTTTATTCCATTCTAAGCAATTCCGAATTCTACCTGTAGCAAGCAGATATAACGGTCTCAACGAGTGGGCGAGGAAACATAATTCTAGCCGATATCCTTTTATGCTAACGAGCTTTTTATTTATCTTTCATGATTCATTCTTCTTTGACTCGATTTTTTACATTCGTCAGGTTCAATATATATTGTCGACAGATCGTACAATGTACAATCATTTGTTGCATATGATGGCGGACGCGTTACTCATATGAAACAAATGAAACAGAAGAATATCCTTGTCACAATTGGAGTAAGTTGAGTGGATGAGAGGAGATTAAGTCAACAATACGATAATAAAGGTTCTTGTAACCGCTAAATATTCTTGGCCAATGAATCTCAAACGTCTTTTTTGATCTTCCTGCTAAATTAACGATAGGAAGACGATCCAATGTCATCATCTCCGATAATTAAAATCTGGGAACTTGACAAACAGGACAGATCAAAAAATGCACCAACATGTCGGCGAACAATTAAGGTTGAAACCAAATCAAAACCGTTCCCTGTATCGACATTTGCCGTTTTAGAGAATATGAGTCAAATTGCTGTGGGGTTGGCAAATGGAAATGTTGTATTGATTAGGGGAGATATACAAAGGGAGAGATCGACTAAACAGAGGATTGTGTATGAAGGTGAAGAACCAGTTACCGGTTAGTATGTGGAGGGAGTTTGTGATAATTAACGGGCTGATTCATGACGATTAAGAATGAGCAAAGGGTTGAATACAATTGTCTCATAATCATGTAAACCCTTTTCCCGGTGAATAGGTCTCGGATTTAGGGAACAAAATAAGAGTGTGATTCTTTTCATCGTGACGACTACTAAAGTATTGATGTACACAACTGGAGCAAAAAATCCATTAGTAAGTAATTGACAATCAATCATGCATCTATCATTATACTCTTTGAAACAAAATTTTCAACACTCTCTTCCTTCATTATTTATAGACTGTAATTGATGAACAAGGCTGTGCATTGGGATGTGCTATAATGAATGACATTACTCATGAAATGATTATTGCGAGAGACGAAGTGAGTATGTTAGCGTTTTGCATCATGAGAGACCGAATACTAATGAGTTAAACAACATTATTATGTCGGTAGGCTATATACTTCTATGGTCCTGAGGGACGAGGTCCTTGTTATTTCTATGAAGGTACCCATTATTGTTCTTGATCTCATCCTGTTGGATCTCCATCTCCCTAATAACACCACCTCTGCTCTCTCAGGCGCAAAAGCGTCAGTGTCTTGGTTCAAGTCCAATCTCGTAATAGTCTCTCCACCCGTAACTCAACCCGCCCGTGTCGCTTCGGCACGCGCACTGTCGTCTTCTGCGGCGCCACTAGAATATACGAAAGTGGCGATATTCGATACTGCCAATAAGTTTATAGCTTACACGGGAAATTTTTCGCAGGGAGTTAGAACAGTGACTTCCGAGTGGGGGGCTGTTTTTGTACTGGGGATGGATGGGAAGGTGAGTTGATTATTCGTGCACTTGAAAGTAAAAAGAATAAATTTTCGTTTTTAAGAGAAGTTGACAGATTTTTGTTTTTACAGCTGTACAAACTGGAAGAGAAAGATACCCCGACTAAATTGGAAATATTATTTAAGAAGAATTTGTATCTACTCGCAATTAATCTAGCTCATAGTCAGAAGTATGATGACGCAAGCATATCCGAAATATTTAAGAAATATGGCGATCATTTGTACAGGTGCGAAACGAGACATTATTCGTAACAATGGTCAATGGTCACTGCATATTACCAACTATTAATTTTTCAATTGGTATAGTAAGGGAGATTATGATAATGCCATGTCGCAGTATATTCGTACAATCGGGCAGCTTGAGCCATCTTATGTTATTAGAAAGGTGAACTCTTGATGCGTACTGTTGATAGGCATATGTTTGATGATATCATAGCTACTGACAATATGATGAATATTCTCTAGTTTTTAGATGCACAAAGAATCCATAATTTGGTAAACTATCTTCAAGAATTGCACTCAAAGAATCTCGCAAATACGGATCATACGACCTTATTACTCAACTGTTACACGAAGCTAAAAGACGTCGCTAGGTTGGATCAGTTTATTAAGGTAAGTATTCATGGTTACATAGGTGCCGGGTATTTTATCAATTCCAATCGCGTAATTGTGACGATTGATTAATTTTAAACCAATCAATGACATATCAATTATTATTGTTTTTTTAGACTGACAATGAATTGACCTTTGATTTGGAAACAGCGATCAAAGTCTGTCGGCAAGCTGGATATTATGAACACGCTCTTTATTTGGCAAAAAAATTCGAAGAACATGACTTGTATGTGTCTAATATGTATGTGTAATATCAATATGTTTGATGCTAGGACTAACGAATAGTCTATAAATAAGATATCTCAAAATACAGATAGAAGATGTCAAGGATTATGTAAATGCATTGGAGTACATTCGCAAGCTAGGCCCAACGGAGGTAAGAACACTTGGAATGTCGTTGCAATCTTATCCTTGGGTCTTTCCAATACTGATATCTCAATGAACACATATTTTCTTGCCTGCTCCATAAATCAAAAGGCCGACCGCAACCTTCAAAAATACGGCAAAATTTTACTCAATCATATTTCTGTATCTACAACACAACTTTTAATCGACCTCTGCACCGGTAACCTTCTTATCGCCAACCAACAGAGTACCCCACCTGCCGTCACACCACAACCTTCCGTCACTCAATCTCCGATTCCCATTCTTCCATCCTACGCATTTTTACAGTTCGGCAACTCCGCTTCAGCTCAAGCGCACCCATTACCACAACTGGAGACAGATAAGGCATTTGAGTCACCTCGCGTAACGCAAAAAGGCAAATCTCCCCTCAGCTACCGACTGCCCCCAGTGACTAGATTTATGTCGCTGTTTGTGGATCAGCCAAACTATCTTATACAATTTCTGGAACAAGTATCGGCGAAACGATGGAAAGGATTCGGGCCATCAAAGAAAGGTATAACACCCGCAAAAGCGATCGCTTTAGGTGCAAGACATCCATCTGATAGTGCATCCGACGAAGTAAAATCCGATTCGAAAGGTTTCATTGACGAAATCGACGCTGAAGCTGAACAGAAAAAGGCCGTTTGGAACACACTTTTGGAATTATATCTTAGTGAAGCCTATTTACCGCCTGTGGTGAGCAGTAAAGATAGGAAGGGAAGAAAGAACGCAGCACCCGGAAGCTTCGTGGTTACTAGCGAGAAAGAAAGATACAAGGAACGTTTGGCGAGGAGGGACAATGCAATGAAGTTGCTGAAGGATGAAGAGGTTGGGTTTTGATAGGGTGGTGAGAGTTTGGAGAACTTTCGTCGAAATTACGAATCGAAAATAATTTTATCTAAAAGCCCTATTGCCTTCCGGCATTTGTAGGTCGAATACGATTGTAATGCAGCTTTGGTGCTCTGCCATCTTGCTCAATTCGATGATGGTATTATATATTTGTATGAAAAAACGCAAATGTACGAAGAAATTCTCCGTTTCCATATGGCAAAGGACAATACTGATAAGGTCATGCAAGGGTTACGGAAATACGGGTATGTTATTCTTTCGTTTGATTATTCTACCGCATCCATTAACATGGTATCGTTGTCATCCTTCCCACTACTTCTTACTCATCATACCTCTCTCACATTAACACATACACGAAAACAGGCCACACGACCAATCTTTATATCCACTGGTCCTCACATATTTCTCTTCCTCTCCCACAATTCTTGCTTCTTCAACCGCCGAACTTCTACAAATTCTCGATTACATCGACGCTCACAATCTCTTACCGCCTCTTCAAATCATCCAAGCATTGAGTAGGAATTCAGTCGCTACGCTAGGAATGGTGAGGGGATACATGGGACGAAGAATTGATTCAGAGAAAAAGGAAAGAGAAGCAGATAAGAAGTTGATTAGGAGTTATCGAGAGGAGACGGAAAAGAAGAGAAGAGAGATTGAAGATTTGAAGACTACGTGAGTGACAAGTGAAAACGGGGTGGTTTTAAAGAGAGGAGACAGGGTTGAGGCAACGGATTATTGTGAGAGGAACTGAGACGTGAAATTAGGAATTCGTGTGAAAATGATTGTTACCGTTATTGTAAAGAAAGACAACACAGTTGTGATTTATAGATTGATTTGACTTAAAAATTTTGTTTCATAGGCCGAGAATCTTTCAGGTTACCAAATGTACTGCTTGCGGGGGCACATTAGATTTGCCAGCCATACATTTCCTATGTAGACATTCATATCACCAAAGGTACGCGAAACTCAATTCGGTTCAGAATCCTTCCAAAGGATCAGACAACTGTCGATTAACTTTCTTCATCCGTATAAAGGTGCCTACCTGATACGGACCGAGAATGCCCCAAATGTGCCGTGGAACACAGATTCCTCGCTGAAGTTCGTCGTAAACAAGAGATAAATGCGGAAAAACACGATTTATTTGTACAGCAGGTGTGTTATACTTGGTTGAAATTTGTGCAAAGAACCAACTTTTCCGCGAGGACACCTTATCTCACCTTCACTTATTTTAGCTTGAAGACGCGGAAGACGGATTCTCTGTTATTGCAGATTATTTCTCTAAGAATACGATGGCATTTACTAAATTGATTGATTAATGTTAAGAAGTGCATGAATTGAATTCATTACTATTTATGTGTTTGACAAAGAAATTTGTGTAATTTCTGTTTTCTGTATTTTGATGTATCAGTAAATGGAGTATTTTGCAAACAAACAAATTTATGGGTCAGCCCAGTCAAGTGTTATAATTTGTTATTTTTTATTGATGGATCTGGATAAGATCGGTATTATAAACGGATAATCTCATATAAGACTATTCATGTTTATTTTATTTGTAATATACTAATACTGAATGTGCTAGAAAATAATTTTTGTAAATGACTGACAATTAACGCATACTTTACACTATATCAATATGTCAACAGAAATCTAGGCTGTGACATATATATTATATATATATAATTTTTTGAAGCAATTATTATGTAGACTTATTATTATAGAAAATGTAAGTTCGTTACTTATTTCAGGTGAGTGCATCTTTCGATCGCTTCACTAAACTAATCGAATGTCAATAATTTTCGATATATCGGGATTAATTATTCGCGATGTCAACAATTTCGCAGCTTGTTATCGCTAAACCAATATATCGGGGAAACAATATTGACCTTGCTGTATCTGTCAACTTACTCAAGTTTGATGTGTCACAGCTCTGGGAAGGCTCGTACCATCGACAGCGGAAACCACGTCATCCATGCGTGATGATGGTCAAAGATTTTCTCGGCAAGGATCAAAATGCCGGCAATATAACAAGAAGAGCAATATTTCCGTTTTTGTTTATTCGGAGCATCTATAGAGGCGGGAAAATTGTTTCAAGTTAGCCGAACAATAAACCAACCTACCCTATTACTACTTTGTGAAATATACTCGCTTGTTGATTGTAAATATTGATAATGCAAAATAATGGTAGTTTTGAAATTTTATTAGAATTCTTGTAAAATAATCCACTAACCTGGACATACAGTAACTTGTTTTATAGTGAATTTAAGAAATTTTTGTTAATACGACAAATTTGATTAACTCAGTTATCAAAGGTAACAAACTAATTAGGGATTACGCGTCTTTGGCTAGCGCTAACGTAATAAAAACTTCCATTTGTTTTGCGACAATTGAGTCAATCTGTTAATAATTCCCCAATTTCCAGTTTTGTTTCATTCTAATATCACGATCTTTGGCACTCAGAAACACTGGACAAATTATTAATTCATGAAAAGCAATTGTATGCTAGAACTTTCAGGAAAAAAGAGCATGATGAAAGTGCTCATACGTAATTTATTGATAGGACATTAAAAATAGACATGTCGCGGTTTTCGCATTAAATAACACAAAACAAAGACGTAGTTAATTTTTAAATAAATACAAATCGGGTCAATGCTCGTGATATGTTTCTATACTAATGACTGCAATAACTCTCTATTCTAATTGTTTGTTAGAAAAAACTACTTGGGTTTTGTTAGAAAAAAAAATTGCGCATGTGTGAAAAGTAAATCTTGCATCACATCTTTTAGAAAGCTTTTTTCTCTGTGCAGTTTACAGTCATTATCCCACATGAGCGACCTATGTTACAATTGTAAACTTGATTTATTGTTTGAACAGTTACAGCTAAGACAATATTCAGTATTATACCATTCATCGCTTATTCTGTAATCACTATAATCACCATACACTCTAAACGCAGGTATGAAAAATGTTCTAAGACAGATTTAATAATTAATTCTGGTTTTGTAAGCGATAGGCTTGAAAGATTCTGTAGATGTGAGACGTTTCGAAGTTTGAGGTGTAGATGGAGTGCTTATAAACCACTAATTCCAATATCGATTAGGAATACTCGTCTCTTGACCTGCGAATATTCTCGTGGCATATTACGATTGTTCTTCGTCCAAGTATAAACGCGTTTAGGCAGCTGTAATTACGTGGGGGGTTCAAAACGTTTTGACACGTGCAATTATCTCAGCAACTTCTGATTACATTCGCTTGGTAAAATAACCATACTAAAGCTTGAGTCACACTCAATTAATGATAAAATGTTTGACCCGTTTTAGTTTGATGGTTGTCGAGAAAATTTTTTTTGAAACTTGTCTATTAAACACGATGGAAATTTTGCTCGCGAAAACCAAAGACGATATATCTTGAGCGTGCCGGCAGAATGGTAAAGGGGCTGACGACAATCACAAGGGCTAATCACTGTTGAAGGAAATAAAGCACCATTCAAACGTACTATTTACCGCTAGATTGAAGCATTCGAAGCCGGACAATCAAGCATCGAAAATGCACACCCGTTCTGGATATCTCCGCGAAGAGCCGTTACACTTTCGAACATTAATAATATTGAAAATCTTATTAATAATGACCATATTAGCATTGGAAATACTCAGAAAGTTATGCCTATCTTAACTGGAAGTATTAAAATCATTTTGCATTATGAAATTTTGTCAAGAAAGCATGTGTTAAATAGGTCCCCTCACGTGCCTACAGTGCGGGATCAAAAGTCACTAAGTACCTTTGGGATACAGTCATCATCTCCACTTTGGGATATAACTGAGTATAGGTATTTTTAGTCTAGTAGTACAAAAAATTTTATTCTGTTTGGCGCTTTAACTTTTCTAACGACTCATTTAAACGACGAACTATATCACGCATATATCTCATATCGTTTTCAATCGTAAATTCTCATTGTTCTAAAATTTTTTTAGCTGTCTTCCTACTTGTATAGAAATTGGCTCTTCCTCCTCTTCGTTTCAGTAGCTTATTAACTAACCAAAAAGAGGTAGACTGACTATATATAGAAATAGCATGATATTTATGTAACACAATTAACATATATAGTAAGGTAAATTTACCAAGGGGATATAACTGAAATATATATTTCTATATGATATGTGAAATTGGGCTCTGTGAAAATTTGGGGATAGGGATATATCGATTGGGATATACGTATGAACGCGATGGGCTATTCCTGAGGGTTTTTCTCAGCATTGCTTCATGATGGGCTTGTGTGATTAACGTTATACTAGTCGTAATTTGTATTAGCCGTTACGTATACGAGTCGTCACGATAACCACATGTCTAGACGAATATTCCCGATACTCTTTACGTATTCCTTCTAAGCTTAACCCAACGAGCGTAGTGTTATTGATATTTTGCTTGGCGTCATATCGAACTCTTTATACTCTTTCTTAGTTCAGCGAATTAAATGTTAATTCTTCACTTTGCGTCGAGTGTTAACTTGATCGCAACGGAATATAAGTAAACTCATAGAAAAACAAACATTGTCATAGGCTAACGATATATAAATGATATCGGAGTTAGCTTCCGGTTCAGTGAATTATCCAGCAATAATAATTATGAACGCTCTCAATAATTGAGAAAAGTTAACAGTCGAATATCCCGTAAGAGGAATTTCCATTCACCCGACGTGAGTACCCAGGCGAGACGTTATCCATACTCAGAGGTTGGTGACGATGACAATGTATGTGGAGGTTGAGTTACTTCTTCGATATGTTAAGTAAGATAAACTCCAGCGAATGATAAATCGGTTTGTTGTATCCAACCGTAGGCCTCAGACCGTAATGTGTCTTCTTTATACACACTAGAAATAATGGTAAACATTAACTCTCTTTCACTTAACATCATCGGTATTAGCCTTCTTTATGTTGGTTAAGAAAGTTATTAAATGTCGCCACAAAGGAACACATAGCGAAACCACTACGTTACGAGCCGACGGAAAGACTTACCTTGTTTTGATACAAGTAATAATATTAACACATCCTTAACTCTTGTTTGAACGTTAGTCTTCTCAGCGAATAGTTCGCCCGTTGTACCGAATATAAGTTGTCTTTAGCAAACGCGCTTCGTTATAATTTACATTTTCCTAGCGAATACGTCGCTCCGTTGTACGGGGGGGGGGCAAAAGTATTGCACACTTTTATATTTATGATATTGAAAAAGATTTTATATGTAATAAAAAAACTAAAATTTGTACCATCTACTGTACCATTTGCTTAAATGGAATGTTTATTTTGATTTAATGAAACAGGTTGCGATAACCACAAAAAAAAATTAACAAAAAACCCCTTTTTTTTTACCTCGGCGCATAAATGAGTTTCGACAAAGCGCTTACTGGTTCTCAAAAAGGTGGTATAATGGCAACAAAAACTAGGTTACAATGATGCAACAGTCGCAATAACGATAGAATGCCATCGCACAACAGTTCAACGGTTTTTTGCAGCCTAATCAGGAAAATCTCCGCAAAAAGATCAGGTCGGCCGCGCATT